CCCCAAAACCCCAAAACCCCAAAACCCCAAAACCCCGAGACTTAAGTTATCTATTGAAGATCTTCTTGGAAATATTCCAAAATAAATGCTGATAATTGATGTTTAAGAGTCTTTATTCTGTAACACCATTGAATGGCTCTATATCTATGGATACAGCCTTGGTGACTTTCTGGTTTATACTTTTAGGCGCCTTTGAGAAGGATTTCTTAAACGGCCTCTGGGCAAGGGCTTGGGAGAGATTTCAAGAGGCGCGCAAATTTTCGCTCTTGCCGTCAAATAGTTTGCTCATTTGAGGAATGTTGTTCTCGATCTCACTCTGAGAAAGTTGTTCGCTAAGAGTGCTCTTGTCTAGTTTGTTCCTCCGGCTCTTGGCCACTCCTTTAATAGTTCCAATCTTATTGTGTGAATCAAGAGTGGGTTTGTGGTATCGTGCCTATGGTTCAATACTAAGGAGTTACCTTTGGTCTCTCAGAATTAACTGAAAGATGATCTCCTACTGACATCGTGGCTCCTTTTGCACCTTTAGCACCTCTAGGCTTGGCTCCATCGGTGGATTCATACCCTTGGGATAAACATCCCATGTTATCAACTGAGCTATTTTTAGCCATCTTGTAGTCATATCTCTTCTTGTTTAGGTCAATCTTTTCAGAAAATATCATTGGGCTAGCATGGCTGTTTCTGACAAGATTTATCTCTTTGGGAGAGAAAACTCCTTTGGAGAAATCAGCTCATGACTCATCAACGAGTCCTACTCAGACTTTCGAGATAATGCTTGTTTTCTTCTTTTGGCCATCAAAGGATCTATTTGGGATCGTAAATGGCTCAGAATCCTCTCAGAGGACAGACTCCCGTTGGATATCCCTCATTTTGTCAGCAGTAGGAGACCCCTCTTTGCTCATAGACCTAACGGCTTTGAGGAGGTGGTCAACCTTGGAATTTAGTGTTAGATATTGCTCCTTTAGTAGTGAATTCTAATAAATTAACAGTTAGCATTACCTCTGCTTTAACGGTATTAAGTTCGCCCTTAATTTTGTTATTCTCCTTCATGAGAAACTGAATAATCTGGTCGTTTTTGCCACTTCTGAAATGTCCTTGGTCTTGAGGCTCGCTCATTGAAGTGTTGTGAAGCTCCTTTTGGTCGTCGAAATCGGGAACTTCAGCTGAAATGTTCCCCTTGTTGTTTTTGTGCAGTTGTCTTTTGAATTTGAATAAATTATTCCGCTCGTTACTCCCCTCTCTGTTGCTCATTGTAGACTTTGGAGTGAACATACTGTAGCTCTCTCTGGAAGAGTTCAGCAAGTTGCCTAAGGTATGGTTAGTCATTTGAAACTCATTTTATTAGATTTTAGAGGAATGGCTTACTCCTGGAAGTTTTATTTTGGTATTTCATGAAGCTGCTGAGTTTGCCATATTTACTTGGACTTTGATTAGATGGAGATGCTGCTAACTCAAGATTTTCAGTGTTTTTAATATCACTTCCAAGGACAGTTCTATATCGAAAATTCTCACATCGGTTAAAATTATCATGAAGCAAACACTCTCCCTAGCAATATTGCTCTAGACTCCCTCCAGGGTCCCAGTACATTTAACATCTCTTACCTTGTTGGCCTGCTGAAATTAACGGTACTCTGATTATCTTCCTTTTGTTTCTCATTTTCTTTATTCTTTCCTTCTGTTTTCCTCTTATTTCAGTGCTTTTTTCTTCTTAAGCAGCATTTTAAGTGAATACTCATTTTTCAGACTCCCAACTATCCTGAAGTGTTTACATACGATTTGGTTTCAGATGCAATAAAACCCCAAATGTTTCATCCTTAAAGCCTTCTCACCACCCATATCACCTCTAAACCTCCCTTTCCCCCCTCCAAATCCCGTATCCTAACAGAACCTTACCTGAACTATGAGTCCTGCCAAACTTGTAGCAAGGAGTCTTCCTGGAGTTCTTTACGTTCATCATTTTTTAATTAATTTTAGATTTTAACGATTTTTAGAAAATGGGGTTTTGGGGTTTTGGGGTTTTGGGGTTTTGGGGTTTTGGGG